GTGGTTGTGTTTATCCCTCTGTGGTTGACAGCATCACTGTGTGGTTGTGTTTATCACTCTATGGTTGTCAGCATCACCGTGTGGTTGTGTTTATCACTCTATGGTTGTCAGCATCAATGTATGGTTGTGTTTATCACTCTATTGTTGTCAGCATCACTGTGTTGCTGTGTGTATCACTGTATGGTTGTGTGTATCACTGTGTGGTTGTGTGTATCACTGTATGGTTGTCAGCATCAATGTGTTGCTGTGTGTATCACTGTATGGTTGTGTGTATCACTGTACGGTTGTGTGTATCACTCTATTGTTGTCAGCATCACTGTGTGGTTGCGTGTATCACTGTATGGCTGTCAGCATCACTGTGTGGTTGTGTGTATTACCACATGATTGTGTGTATCTCCCTGTGGTTGTGTGTATCACTGTTAGGTTGTGTGTATGGCTGCATGGTTTTGTACATCACAGTGGTGTTGTGTACATCACTCTATGGTTGTGTGTATCGCTACATGGTTGTGCATCACTGTATATTTGTATATATCACTGTATGGTTGTGTGCATCTATGTTTGGTTGTGCGTATCACTGTATGGTTGTTCATCAATGTATGGTTGTGTGAATCAATGTATACGTCCGTGTTCTTTTGGTGAAAGGATCCTGGCTTCAGCATGTGGATGCTGACGGTGACAGCTAAAACAACACTGACGGTCAAAGAGAGGGCAAAGACGATGTAGAACAACACATGTCGTCGTGAAGGTGGAGGCTCCGACGTTGTAGTGTCGTTGGGGATGAAGCTAGATTCAGACCCTGACATTCTTATATGATATGTACGGTTATCAATTTGAAATCAATGGTACAAATGTGTTGATATTTTTAAATGTCCAGTTGGGACACTTGTTAATGACATCCAAAATCGCCGTTTGACTACCGACACGAAAATAACCTCGGACGAACATGCCATTGCAGTGTTAAACAACAAACAAAACATTCTCTGAATGTGTCTCTATTCAGTGACACGTGTTCGAGTCAATAGTTTACCATATTTGATAAAAAGGAGACTCAATAAAAAGTAAGTAGTTCCCCGCTATCTCGCCCTTGTGACCTAGCAAACGGGACAACGCCCAAACAAGTCAAAATGGTCCCAAAACAATTACGTCAATGACAAAAAGGTCAGAGTCCACTTTCCAAATATCGTAAGAACATGTCTTGTTTCTTGGTGACACTTTTGACAAATTCAGTCAATACTGATACTGACTACTCCTTGTTTTATCCCCTTAATTCCAAGCGCGCCAGGAAAGGAAACAAAAAGTACCGTATTTTAACATCACTTTGTATGACCCTGCCGGGGATCGAACAATCGACTTTCGCCTCCCCAAGAAGAGGCTTTATCCACTCAGGAGGTCTCAAGGTTAAAGAATCCCCCAGCGTCATCTCTGTCATCAGGTCTACTTGGGATAGGGATTTTACGCTGAGTGTGATTACGTAGCATAAATATATACTAGGAATAAACAATTGTATTATTCGAGCCATTCACGAGCATAGCACATACTTGTTATTCATAATATATGATATTGATTGTACGGAAACATACGAGGGTAATACTCACTTTATCATATAAAATAATGTTTTTCATTATCCATGTTTAAGAGGTAATGTCGCCCAAGGATGTAACTTTAGAGTGAGTGAGTTTGGTTTAACGCCGCTTTTAACATTATTCCAGTTATATCACAGCGTGTCAGCTTAATGTGGGAGGAAACCCCGAAGTGATGCAGGTCTCAGACGTTTACCACTTCGGTGAAACCCACGAGCACGGGTATGATGCTGACAAACATAGAAACATAATCGGGGCGAGCCGCGATTCGAACCCACAATCATATGTTTCTGGCGTGTTCAAGGGACGCAACTCTGCACAGCGAATCGCGGCGCCTTAGACGAAACAACTCACTAATCATATATTGCCAAATGGTTTGCAGCCATGTCCACCTACAACGTGTGGAAAACACAATCAAAATGTACTGGAGAGTTAGTCAATAGTTTCTTGAGCAGACATTGCATCGATGTACGGAGTTAACAGTAGTTCCTGAAGATGATCTCATTTGCATATTTATCGGATCGTTAAACGAAACTCATCGGATTTCGTATCGCATGGACAACCCCATCCTTTATACGATACCGAGTCAACTGTGGTGATGAGTGTATGTATTTTTTCTCCTCGTGTCCTTGCTTCGTGGTTTCCGTTCTTTCCTGGTTATTCTGACGTAGGGAGTGAGTGAATATTGCTTCATGCCGCATCCATAAATTCGTATTTTACTACATGTGCACATAACAGCAATATTTTTGTCGAAGCGCTCTGAAATGTCAGTCAAATGTCACATTTAAATTATTATCAAATATATGAAAATGCCATAATAACAGTTCAAAGTAAGGAATATTTCGTTTACCTCAAAGATAAGCGTGATAATCTTGAACGCGACGTTAAACCCCATTTTCACCTCGTCGACTACGATCATGTTACTCGGTAAATGAGTTGCAACTTAGTCAGCTAGTGTATAAGAAGCCCTCCCAATCCATAGTCGAGTCTTAGTTGGCAACTTCCTTGTTGACTTGAATGTGTCTTCAAGCATTCACACTTGTTTATTCCTCTCTTGACCTAAGCTTTATTGTTCATTGTGTTCTTCGAAATATCATAGGATTTTCTTCTTTTTGTTTTTGTTTGGCAGTCGATTGCATTTTCTGCTTTCTGAATACATTACAAGGTGGTGACGCTATATATTTGGAGTGATCGTTGCTTCATGCTGAATTTAAGATTCACATTATAGCTAAAAGTTGTTTACCGTCTCTGTAGTGCAGTGGACAGAGCGTCTCCCCGGACAAATTCTTACGTTTTAATATATCAACAACTAAGTGAGTCAGTGTGAGTTAGTTAGATTGTACGCCGCTTTTAACAATATTGCAGCAATATCACGGCGGAGGACGCCAGAACTGGGCTTCACACATTGTACCCATGTCGGGAATAGAACCAGGGTCTTCGGCGTGAAGAGCGAACGCTTTAACCACCAGGCTACCCGTCCGGCCCAAAAACTTCAGCAGTTGCAGAGATAGGATTATGTTCCTGCATGTATTGCCATTTAAAAAAAAATAGATGTATAGTTTTTTTCATAAAAACAACAACGTATTAATATCAATCCCTAGTAAAATGACAAAAGAGATGTGTTAGACTACATGTATACGAAGGTTAGTATTTTACTTAGATTAGTCATACAATATCTAAATGATGAAGCTTTCATACTGTCACGTGGTGTGCTTTTACAAATGCGTTGTACGAACCTGACACTAACAACAACAACAACAACACTAAAAATGATATGTATATATAATAATAAAGACCACTGCATCGAGTTTATGTGCAGTTTGTGTACAGTGTGTTGAGGAGAGTAGCAACCGGCATATTTCTTCGCTGTCTGGCTGTAAAAGTGAAACCGAAACTGCCCAGGACCAGTCACTTCCCACTCGAAACCGTCAATGTGTGATTTTGCATAAAAATGTAAATAAGAAATGTAAATTATGGAATCCGGAAACATTTTGATCGGGATAATTGACGGGAAGTGAGACATTTAAAATATATTAGAAAAGCATTTACTAAAGTATTTCGTCGACTGTTTCAGTTGTCAAGAACCAAAATCATTAGGATGATATATTGCCAAAGGATTTTTACACCGTTTGTATTACAAACGATAATATATTCCCCTTCCCATATGAGTCGTTCCTTTCATTTGTGTAAGTTCTTTAATATCTTAAGCATTGCAGTCGATTATATTGGGCCCTTTTAAAAGTAATAAAATAACTTTATATAATTATTCCATGGTCATTGTGACCTTGTTTTTTTATCACTTACATTTCAAAGATTAAACTGTTTGTTAAAGGGAAATATAAACACAACCTCCCATATGAATGCATGTGACAGGGAAGTTAGTGTCATTTGTAATACAATTGTACAACACAAACACACCGGGTATCTGGGCCAGCTCTCGCACCATGATGACATGTATAATCGTCCTCAAACAAACTCAAGTTGTCTCTAAAAGTAATCTATACTCGATTCTGTATATTAAAGTGCGGACCATGTTGCATTGTCATTTGTGTTTTGTTTGTGTTTTCAGGCGAGAGATGACTGCTTGAGTAATGGTTCTGACTCTTGCATATTTGCTATTTACAACACAAGGTACGTTTTTTAGATATGTACAATGTATTTATAAACCTTCACTCACACGGAACCATTTTGTCTAATCCGACCTAATGGGCAAACGAGCAATTAATAACGTACGTTTTGCACATCTGAGCACATTCTCCTTGTTGAAAACTTAATGAGCATGATTTGATAAATAGTAATTACGAGGTTTTTTTACCCATAGGGGTACGGATAAAGGTGCAATTATTTACAAATTTTGCTCATCCCGACTGGCTAGTTCGTTCCAATCGTTCTATTGTTTTCATGGGCGAAGATGCCCACGGGATGTCATCTGAACGCATTGTCGCAAATAAATGAAGATGACGTCATCCATTGTTCATGACGTCACTTACGATATATTTTATGACCTCGCTTCAACAATATAGTAACTGAGCTGATATCTCTACTTGAGTTAAGGATTAAGATAAGATTAATTTGTATTCAAAGAATTAACTATAATCTGTCTCTTCTGAAAGAAAAGATGAAAGTACCCCGCCGGGGCTCGGATATAACACAATTATATCATTCGGGTTATATAATCCGTAATTCCTTAATGTTTGACTGAGTATACTGACCATAGACTACCATTTGGGTGCACCCCTTACAGGGATGGATCACAGTTAAAATAATCAGAGCAGACTATAATATATCTAAATGACTATCATGCATACGTACTAACGTACGGCCTTAAACATCCACGGATTAATAAATGTCTTTGGTTTAGGTACAGTTAAGATTGTTTTGTTTTTTTCATCATGTCAACATGATTTTCAAGATTCACACTGTGGAGATGGCCAACACTGTATGGATTGTGACATCACGACAGGGGAATGCCTCACGGCGTGTTCTAAAGGATATTTTGACAGGACCTGCAGTTCGAAATGCAGCAATGGTTGCAAAAATAATGCCTGTGTGTCTTCAGGCGATGGCATTGAGAACTGCACTGAAGGGTGCGTGCAAGGTTTTCAAGGCACTAAATGCAAAACACAATGTTACAATCCTGGAGTAAAATGTACAAAATGTCAAAACGGATGTCTTGGAGAGTTTTGCCAAATGGGTTCATCCTGTGTATCCGGATGCGTGTGACTCTTTCTTTGGCTCAGGCTGTAGGAATTGTTCCAGTAGATGCAACACATGCAATAAGACAACAGGAGCCTGTGACGAGTGCCATCCACCGTATATTAGTTCACAGTGTGAGCGTTCGTGTGTTCACTGTTTGGGATCGTGTGGAGCTGGATGTGAACAAGAATGTAAACCTGGGTTTTATGGATATTGGTGTGATAAGATGTGCAGCAGACATTGCAAAAATGCCAATAATACATCAACATATGACGAACGCGAATGTCACAAGAAGACTGGAGATTGCAGTCAAGGTTGTGATGATGGCTGGTATGGTACCAACTGTTCATCTGAGTGTAATTCAAACTGTATCAATATGTCATGCACATCATTCGGGAACTGTGTGCATGGTTGTATACCTGGTTATTTCGGCCCGACTGCACATGCTCTGGTAACTGCTTCAATGGCAGTTGTTATGCAGAAAACGGGTCATGTGCACAAGGTTGTACGAATAATTTTTATGGCTCATTTTGTAACGTGTCTTGTGATGCATGTCTTGGTGGTGTTTGTGACCAGATGACTGGCACATGTATCAGAGGATGCAACATAACTGTCACAGTGTGTCATCCTCCATGTACACACGACTGTCCCATTGATCACTGCATGACAGAGAGGAACTGTCACACAGGTAAACTGCTCTCTTTGAACTCTTTTGGATTTAAATAAATAAAAGCGGCAAAACCAGTTCCATAATCATAAGAAAGATGTTACAGCTGCCGAAAGCAGAGACCATTGTACGGTACCGACAGCTACGATGATACCAGGCGAAAAGCTGAGCATGTCCTGCCCCATTTGTGGCAACCTTCACGAAATAGCAATAGCTTACTTTGATTATGTGGTGAATTTCCATAAAATCAAACTGTAAAACACGTTTCACATGCTTGTCATGTTTACCACTACTGATCGTATTGTAACAACGAGTGAAAAGAGGACAGTTTGTTGTCAAGGGAAGACACTCAATCTGTCTGTTTCTACTTTTCAGAAACGCCGACTGAGAAGAATAGCCATCGTGTCACAATAGGGATCGCAACAATGCTTTTGCTATGTGCAGTTGGCATTGCCATGACAAATGTGATCATTTGTTATCGCAAACGTTTGGCAAGGTGAGTACACCTATGTCTATATGACAATCGTAGTCTGGTATAATACCATGGTGTTTTAGAATATTCTTGTGTTATTTGTCAATGGGAGCTTTCCAAACAAAATAAAATGACTCCCTTTTCCATCATAAACATGCAATGTATATTAATAAGGACGTATATCTCAATCCGGTAACATATTCAAAAATCCCGAATCCTGGGAATGTGTCTCATGAATGATTTAAACCCATCCATTGTGGTCAGGAAAAGAGACCTGTTTCAGAGAGATCAGAAAGTTTTCTTTCTAACATGCGTTATTGTTTTGAGGGACATGATCGAAACGTGACAATTTATATGCACATGTGAAATGAGGTGGAATTGGGTTTAACGTATAGAGCGATGTGCATGCATATGTGTGTGTGGCTGCTTGTACTAATCTGGACAAATGCCGATTTATAGTGCTAGCTCACATGCCGCAGTTTAACATGAATACCCCACTCAGACACAGTATACTGACTCCGAGCCGGCCAGTCCTTGTTTTAGCTCCTTTATGCCCAGCGCCAGACAGGGTAACAACAAGTACCATCTTTTAACGTCTTTTAGTATGACGCGGCCGGGCGTCGGAGGTTCCGCTCTCTGGGCGGATGCTCTACCACTAGACCACGGAGGCGGTCATATACACATGTAAAATGTAGAGTTTGAAATGAGCAGAAAAACATGTACTTTTACGTGTTTGAGAGTATATTCTTATACCTCACAGATTGTGAAAATAAAAGTGAGAAAAACATTTTCATAAAAGTAAGAAATCTCTGCTGAAACTGATTCCATTGTACGATTTCAAATACATCATAATAAACATCCATTATGAAGAACTCGTATCATGTATGTAGCATATTAAACTTTATAGATAGGTTCTGTTACTGTCAAATTGATTGTTCGACTGATGAATATAGCGTTACAGATAGTTTCTGTTACTATCGAACTGATTGTTTGACTGATGAATGTTGCCATATAGATAGTTTCTGTTACTGTCGAACTGATTGTTTGACTGATGAATGTAGCATTATAGATAGTTTCTGTTACTATCGAACTGATTGTTTGACTGATGAATGTAGCCATATAGATAGTTTCTGTTACTGTCGAAATGATTGTTTGACTGATGAATGTAGCATTATAGATAGTTTCTGTTACTATCGAACTGATTGTTTGACTGATGAATGTAGCATTACAGATAGTTTCTGTTATTGCAGGGAACATCAGGTGCAGCCATATTATTCGGATTACCAGTCACACACCTATTGGGAAATACGATATACTGACATGGCCACAGAGTGTCAGCCATACCAGATAAACAGTGTTGAAGAGCAGGATCCGAACATGCTGGTTTTGGCTTGATCAATTTGATGATGTGAATGGTCGTGAAATCAGGAATGTGGCATCCATAGAAGAGTCATCTCTAGATTTGCAATCGTATTCACATTTAGAGAATGCAAACCAAATTTCGAATTGCCCTAATTTGGATGATAAATACATATCTCCAGTTGTGGAATGTGACGCAAGTACACAGACAGTCAATATCTGAATTTGATAACACCAATTTTGGTCACACTGATGAGTAACGTATCAGAGCAGGATGTCGTCATGTCATTACAACCTATGACACAACAGAAGCTAACTTCTGTCAACAAGGAAAGCAGTTTGAGGAAATATAATTTTGGTTTGTTGTTTTACGCCGCACTCAGCAATATTCCCGCCATATGGCGGCAGTTTGTAAACACTCGAGTCTGGGCCAGACAATCCAATTATTGACATCATGAGCATCGATCCACGCAATTTGGATTGATGCACGGAGAAGGTCGGCCAACTCGGAAACCGGAATAGTCGATTTCTTATTCCGTGTACGGATATTTTCTCGTCTCCGATGACCAATCGGTAAAACAGGTACGCAGGTTTTGTTTTGTTTTTGTTTTATGGTTTCTCAACATCTTAGATTTTTTCCCGATACGATAGTGAATTGGGTTTTAGTTTGGGATTGATCAGGAGCAGTCGCGTTGCATTTTTTTGCTTTGTGTCAGCGGCCACATCTGAACAGGGTACTACATTGTTTTCATTGGTGCAAGATTCCTGTCATTTCCGAAAACAAGGCACCAAAGTCAATATCGCTCAATAAATCAATTTCGTTCACCTCAGTTATTTAACAGAATTTATTTTCTTTACTTGCATTATTAGTATTGAAAGATAGCCATTCCATATCCAAATCACCGTAAGGACAATCCATTTTCTTTCATGTAGCAGCTAGACGACATCAAACACCAGAACCAAAGCATTAATTTATTAACAAGTCAGATGAAATGTTAAAAAACCAGGCAAAAATACTAAATTAATGATATTGCTGATAAATGCAGGAATTAAAAGAAAATCGAAAAACGAGTTGATCCTAAACACTGATCGAGAATTCGGGGAAAACCCGGAAAGTAGTTCATTTTTTGTCCGTTCACAGATGTGTGAATTCCAGATATCAGATCACGTGACTACCCATTCAGCCAATCAGCATGAAAGAAACAGTGTAAGCTTCAAAGTATGAAAAACATTACTTATTGTAATGATAAGAGTGAAAACAAAGAAAAGTCATATGAAATGTAACCCCTACAGAGAAACGTCACTGTAGGCTGACTATTGTTCAGATGACGGAATATAATCAATTTATGACATCATGAATGACGTCATGACCAATCAGCTTCGAGAATTGCTAAAATACACTTGGGCAAATGTTGAAATGATACATGATCGCCCTACCCGTATGGATAATGTTGAAACTTTTGTCAGTTATGTGCTGAAAACATTTTTTTTATATAAAATGGGCAGGGTTATCGATGCGATAACTGATACACTTGGTATCACGATCCGATAAATGTAAAAATGAGGTCACTCAGCTTCATACAGTTTGGCCAATAACGTATTGTCTGATGTTCACAGTGATTTAGATAGAGGTTTCCCCTATGTGTGAATGTTGATGCAGACAAACATGGGGCGCGTCACCCTAACATTGTGTACAAACGCGAATTCTAAAGAAACCTCATTGTGTATAGGTATACCAAATACGGAATTCATAATGATACATTTTAAATTCCAAACATATGATATTTATGATACAGAAACACACACGGCCTTAATATATGTATCAGGCACAAACACATTAAAATAGAGGCATGACAGCACTCTTTCATTAAACAGACGATATTACTGTGTATTTCCATCTATATGCATATATGGATGTATATAGTTCATGTATAATGTACTATTACTCTACAGCTAGGTAAGTATCATGTGTGGGGGAAATATTATATATATGCAAATCGTGGTACAGCTACATATTCATGTATGCCAATGTCAACATTTGGAATGTTACATCTGTAAATACACCAAATTTGAAAACTGCTGCACTTTTTTGTTGTTCACAATTGAATCCGAAGTACCAAGTTGTCCGACTCCCCATTGTTCTCTGTGTCTTAGGTTTGGTACCTCCCAATCTGTTGACTGACATTGGGAGAGTGCCCGGTTTTGCTACCAGGGCTACCCTTCTGACCATGTGGGTAATGCAGAAGGCTGCAGGGTTGGGGAGTCTTCAAAATTCTCCGAAAAGGTCTGGTTGGGTTTGACTAGGCAGTGCTTCCTGGGCGAAGTCCCATTCGCTGTCTGGGCTGCGTGTAGAGGGGGCAAGGGCCCTGCGCTGATGATGAGCCTAACCAGCCTGACTGTGCCAGGATCACCCAAACCCACTTTGCTGCATTTTTTATTTCAATCTGTAAAGAATAATAATAATAACAACAACAACAACCATCATCGTCATCATTATCATCATCATCATCAATTTTATATGGTGATTGCAGTGAGGAAGACATCTTTATGTCGTGAGGCAGTTTGTTCCACTCTACAGTTGCCTGATAGGAGAATTGACGCTCACCATATTGGACAGTGTTCGTTTTCGGTACAATCAAGATGTTTTTCTTTTTGCGATCTGAGTGATCTTGTCGGATTGTAAGCATCGATCTTAGTTAAAAGATACTGTGGCGTACCGGCATTACACGTCAGGCAGAGGATCTTGAATCTGATTCTGAACTCCACAGGTAATCTTTGCAAGCTCTTGATGACTGGTGTAATATGTTCAATATTTTGGGATGAGAAACACAATAATGGCTGCTTTGACCCTGGATAACTGACGATTCTGATAATTACGACTATCATACCTTTACCCTAAATGTCCTTTATTAAGTTGTACACGTGTTGAATATTATTGTCGTCCGAGGGGTTCAGCTAGCAAAATCGTATAAAGCGCCTCAATTCGTTGTGCAGAGAGGCGTTCTTGTGGCGTGCCCAAATAATAGGGTCGTGTGTTCGATTCCCAGATTCAACCTGGTTAGGAATGTTGGTCCGTCAGCACCATATCCGATCTCGTGAGTTTCACCAAAGTGGTAGACGTCGTTATAATTAATATATCCACATACGCGGTACACCCCAAAACTGAATCTGAGGAATGTTTCCTCTTCTGTCCCTCTCTACATCCAACACTGATTTCATATTATATCATGGGTTAGTAGCACTTTGTTATTTATGTATTGATAACCTGAACATAGTAATATCATGTTACATGTCTTATATAACAGGATTTAATAACGCGTCTCTCTTTATACCTCCATTCATCCATGATGTATGCATTTATGATACATATTGCTGAGTGTAACGCTTGCTGCGCACTGGTACAATTAACGATGACATTGAATACAAAAACATATTTCTGCTGGAATGACCTGTAGGATACTCGCAGTCGAAGCACCATACAACTTCGATACCTCGTCGTAATCAAGGCATGCTCTCCCTCAACACTATCTTGGTTCTAACATCGTTGCCATGTAGCGACATGCCTACGATTGTATTTGTGCAAACACATGGAACGAAACTATTTGTACCATGACCACGTCAAGACGAGCTAGAAAAGCGGGTTTACCTAACAAATCAATAACACAGTCGCCGTTGGCTGCTTAACTGGATCATTCACAGGCATATGCAGTGTTGTGTACAACTGTAGCTGAAGAACGTGCCCTACTGTTCTTATGTGTCACGTTGACCTAATGCACTGTGGAAGATGGCCATCATATTCATCACTTAGGCGCAACACTAGTAACTGTGTACAGATATTCTCCGATCGTAACACTGGCTTGATACAGTCTGCATATTAACGGAAAGTACTGTTATCTCACACGTATGTATTCAATCAAAATACAAGTGTCTCTGTGTGCAATGTCGTATCAAACAATGGAACAATGTAACGGATTGGTTTAGCTAATTCAGGCAGTTTCGCTTTTCAATAAACAATTGGTTTGTTGACGAGGAAAACGAAACAGAAAAGATACCCATGTTTCCCTGTCCATGTATCAACATGTGAAGATTCATTTCAACAGACATGCACGTCGGATAACATTCCTCTGTCTGATGTATATGTAGCGATATTTGGGTCAACCTATTCGGTAAAGTGTATGGCGAGAGATTTATTCGACAAATATTATGTTATTTATGTTTCCTCAAGGGTCACGGTTCATTACAGCAACAGTGTAGATAATAAACAAGGCTGTAAACACCATGATCATGATAAAAAACAACAAAATGATGACGAGAATAGAAACAAAGGGTATTCTTTTTATTATTTTATTTATTGAACGGGTAACATCTGTTGTAGTTATTTCAAAAGCTTTGCTGACTGTACCACACTCGTATGGCGTGTCAATGTGTCAGTTGTAATGTGTAATGTTTCCGCTTCGGTATGAATTGTCATTTTATTTGTGGATTATTGTAATTGTCAGTATGGCCTGTTCCATTGTACGTTGTAATTGAACGTGTAGTTAGTGTTTAGTTATATTTTTAAAACATACACATCACCTTCCTAATGTTCACTTCATTCTGAACATATTTATAAACTAGTCCTCTGGTGTTGTGACCAGTAGTATGTTTAAGTTGTTACATGCAAAATCGAGAGAGAAAGGTCAGTCCTTTTATCAGAGAAACAATATTGGGATGGTCTTATTCGTCCCCAACATTGTAAACTATTACGTGAACGAGGTAACCTGCCATCTTCACTTTACTATTGCATCAAGATATACTTGACGGCTATGGTAAAGATCGTGAGGTTTGAAAACAACCGGTGTCTATTTAAGAAATAAAATAGCTCCATGTATCATCTGTGGTTTATTGCCTATTTTTAACTCTTAATGCCTGTATTGTCTCAGTTACTTTCCTCATAAAGCAGAGATATTCGCCAATAACAGAGGATTGCAGAAATACAAAGTGTATCGAGTGATGATAATGGATGTATAGGAAAAGGAAGGACTGCATGTAACATGGCAATATACATGTAGGTAGTGTATTGTAAGGGCGCAAACTACTGTCATAAAGTGCTTATGCAGGTTGACGTAACGAGATTGTAAGTTGTGCATTTCAGGTTGAATGGAATGTGACACAGTAGCAATGCACATGTTTTGAGTCAGACATATTAAAGTGTCTTTGCTGGAGAACCGTCTTGGTCATTGTTGCCTTACAAAATGTGTCAGAAGAAAACCTGAAATGGAAAAACGTAGCCCAACTCCTGGATTGACTTTGACGGGCAATTTGGCAGAAATCTGGAGAAGATTTAAGCAGCTATTTAGGATTTGTTTTGTTAGCAAGCGGTATTGTTCAGAAGAATGAAGGAGTGCAGCCAAATTCACGTGCTTGGAACTGCTTTAGAGATTTACAACACTTTCAGATGGACAGATGCAGGTGATGAATGAATCTATTGACAGTTACGTTGCTAATCTCAGAAATAAGGCAAAGCTTTGTGAATATAGCAATTTTAGTGACTCTTTGATTAAAGATCACATTGTTTGTGGAATCGTCAGTGATCAAGTTAAGTCAAGACTGTTGCGTGGATCAGATTTAACATTAGACAAGGCGAAATATATATGTAGGTCTGCAGAAACAAGTGTATCACAGCTAAAAGAGTTGGCAGGAGAAACAGAAAAAAGCAAATTTCTGGAATCCTGGAATCCTCATTAAAATGAACAAAGAAGAAATTAATTTGAAAGGAACGTCACAAATCACTTGGAGTAAGAATGCTCACCAGATCAAAGGCGGAGCTAATTTCATATTCTGGACACAAACTGGAACCGATGGGTAGGCCAATCTTGTCGATGAATACAAGAAGAAGAGGTTTCCTGCGGAGTGTGTAGAAAAACGTTTGAGATGACTTGATCAACAACGTGATCAAGCCCTCGTGAATGATCACACAATGACAAATCAATCCTTCAATGAAAATGTGAGTGCGTCTTGCCCAGCGTGAAAACATACGAGATCGCGAGACCATCGGCGATTCACCTGGAGTCTCAGCTCAAGACACCATTGGCGTCTGGCAAGTCCATTTGTCCACGTTTTCGCCGAGCATGCACATGAGCATCTAATCATAACAAAACAATCTATTTTAACACTAAACGTAAATTATTGATTAACTTCATTTGGCCTTACGTCCCTGTGTTTAACAAGGCGGTCGCTGCAATATCATTCACTTGAAATGGAAGTTGCACCGTGTGAAGTTGGAGTTGGAAAGGAATCCAAGGGCGGTTGATGCTGAACATGGAACAATGTGAACATTCCTGGAACGTTTGTGTATCATCCTTAGGTTAGATGAGCTGCTGAGGAGGATTACCATTTGAGCCGGAGCTGGATTTCCAGATGCAGTACACGACAGTGAAGAACTAAGGGATGTCTTTTGATAAAATGAGCATTCGCTGTTATACTCCAGCATGGACATCATTTTGGTGACCCGACATATACATGATCTGTCTAGCTTCAAAACCTGCATTATTCAAAGCCTGAACCGATGTCGCTCTCTTTGAACACTTTGAATATTGAGAAACGTCAGCCATTTAAACTAGTCTTCCCCAACGATTTGCAAGTATACCATATTGCTTGGTTCAACGGTTTTGAAATAGCCTTTGTAGCACACTGGTTAATTGGAGAGGAAGTTTGAGTGAGCTTGTTATCATTGGCATTTACGTGTTTGAGAAAAATGGTGAGGTGAAGTGAAATTGGGTTTGACGTCGCGTCCAAGATTTTTTAACAAGCGCCCTTGTCCCCTCTACACGCAGCCCAGACAGCAAATGGAACTTCTCCCAGGAAGCACTGCCTTGTCAAACCCACCCAGACCTTTTCGGAGAATGTGAAGACTCCCCAACACTGCAGCCTTCTGCATTACCCAGATTGTCAGAAGGGTTGTGTTCCTGGTAGCAAACCCGGGTTCTCTCCCAATGTCAGCCAACAAATTGGGAGGTACCAAACCTAAGGCACTGAGAACAAGCGGGAGTCGGGCAACTTGGAATTTGGGATACAAGCGTGACATTTCGAAAGCGAGGTCCGCATATTTGCTATGTTTTCTGTCTCAATCTTGTCAATCACATTAGTGTCAAAAGGGACAGAAAATTCAATGGAATAAATGATTTCATTGGATTTATCAAAAAGGACAAGATCGGATTTGTTGGCTTGGATATGTCTGAGACTGTAAATGGGCCTATTCCAAAGGATTTTGAATTTTTTCATTTTCCATGACGCCCTCTACATATTCAGGGTCGTACCATAGGTGGACCTCTGTGTCAAAACCACAAGCATGGGGAAGACGGTAATAAAATGATCGAGCTACACCATCATGTCGTTTAAGATACTGTGTTTGTGTCAAAGCTTGGCATCCACTGACAATGTGTTAGACAGTCTCATTAAATTCATTATTATTATTATTATTATTATTATTATTATTATTATAACTATATACCGCAGGTATAGAGATACTAGTATCTGCTCAAATGCGGTCTTTATTTGTTGCCAGACCAGCAGATCAGTTTCAATTCCAGTTATATCATTCTCAACGCCCCGGGGAGTAGAGGACCCAAGCTGCAAGGTTTTTACATCCACCGTTATTACATAAAAAGTAGTTATGCATACATATTTACCCTATTCATTATACAGACTAAATTGCAGACAAGATGCTATTTGTTCAAATTGAAAGCATCCTCGTTATTAATATAATCTGATAACTTTTCTTGCCATCTTACAGTGATGAGTGAACGTAGCAAATGCCAGCCAGGGATGTTCGGAAGACTGTGTGATCAACTATGCCCAAAGAAATGTGCCCGGAAGAAAGGAAGAAAGCTTGTAGACTGTGATAGGGACAGTGGGAGTTGTTCTGAAGGGTGCGTGGGAGGATGGTACGGCGACCAATGTGATCAAACTTGTAGCAAGAACTGTAAAGACAACATTTGCAACCAAGTGAATGGACAATGCACCCGAGGTTGTAAAGCGAAGTACAGAGGAAAGTTTTGTGAGAGTTTTGTTGGTAGGTATGGATATGGATATGGATATATTACTATTATTATTATTATTATTATTATTATTATTATTATTATTATTATTATCATCATCATTATTATATACCAGACATGTAGCACAATGAGACATCCAGTATGTATGTCCACAATCCATGTTTCTGTGTTCTTGTTTATCCATGCATGTGAGTCTCAGGATAAGCAGGAATGTGCTTACCTAAGTAAACCTTGTGATTAATTAACTTCTTCTTCATGTTAAGGTATTTGCTAAATGATGTGTATTTCTTTATTATCCACATCATATTGTTCGGATATGAAATGCTTTATTATGTCAGGGATATATGTTTGTCGTATGATGCCAAAAAGGTCTACATGTATATTACAATACCAAACGTATTTTTGTTCTATGTGGTCAAATGAGTAATGTTTCTGTCATGGTAGAATAGATACACATACTGTATCTAAAATGATGATTAAACCCAATTACAAAAGAATTGAAACCCTCACTCTGAAACTTCCAGAGCGAGATTTGTGACAACATACATCAAAATGCAAATAATGTATAAGAGAAATTATGTGTACTCTTTTACAGAAAAATGGACCAAACCTGATGGAGTGAAGACTGACTTTGAATCAAATGTTGCTCCTTCAGTTGCTGCTGTGGTCATCATACTTTCGATCTGTATTGTCGTCATTGTGTAAGCTTGTGTATCATATCATGTATTCGAACATGTGTAAATGTTGAGCAAATCAAATTGTATGTATATGTACATTAAAAAAGAAATTATTTTGAATTATCAAACTTGACCATAACCCAGGACAATCGAAATTGACACCATGGTGAGGAAATTGTTAGACTGATTTGCAAGAATAAATTCTCAGTTTGTCATTTGACGAAACTGTTACCAATAATGGAAATTAAAGTCGCATGCAAGTATATGGTAATAGATTCGTCGTCGACATGACATCAGATACTGACCAAAGGTGTTTCAGGACATTGTGGGCAGAGAACAGTGTACTCCACTAACCGACACCGAGGATGACTCTGGTATTCGAATGCCATGATTACAGTATTCTCACATGCCTAAAGGACGTCACGCCTTTGCTTTCTGGGCAATCCACGCCCCAATACGTGCCTGAACTGCTTGTTAAGGGAAGGTCATGAGTGTTCGATTTTCTATAAAATCAATCAGTTGTAGAAGATAACATGTCACCTGTATGGTTTGACTGAGGACAGCCCTTTCAGAAGTAGGCAAAGCTCTGGAACTGATTCAACTTCAACTAATTGTCAAGTAAATAGATGACAATACACAAGACGATGGCTTAAATTTGTCTGTTGTACTCAGTTTGACCTATTGACTTCTTGTCCAAAGATCTTCCCGAGACAAGAGAGTTAACTGACTATAAAAGTCCAGTTTCCACCCTTGCCGAACTAGGCTGGTATTATGGAGTTACATTTTGGCTGGACTAATGAGTCTATGCATAGTCCAATCAAAATCGCGCACCGAAATCGCAATCCGGTTCGTGAACTGTCCTGTAGATTTCAGGTCGATAGCAGGATTTGCAAAACATGTGCACCGCCAACTCGTTGTCAGCAGATATTTTCCAAATCCCAAAGATAGATATTTGTGCTGGGTTGTAAATAGTATTGATATGTGTGTGTGTTGAATTTCCCATCATCATTAATGTATTTCTATTTCCTTTACAGCATTTACATCAAAAAGCGAAATCGAAGAAGACAGAGGTAAAAAGATAAATTATTTACATGGTACGAGGCAATGAAAATGCAATTTTATTGCATTTGTTTCTGACTGAAATAGAACCTCCCTAAAATGTCAGTTTTCTTACAACGCAACTCCATGTATTTTCTTCAGGGCGGTCGGGTAGCCTGGTGGTTAAAGCGTTCGCTCGTCACGCTGAAGACCCGGGTTCGATTCCCGACATGGGTACAATGTGTGAAGCCCATTTCTGGTGTCCCCCGCCGTGATATTGCTGGAATATTGCTAAAAGTGGCGTAAAATAAAAACTCACTCACTCACACCTGTATTTTCTTCGAATTTGCAATCCGCTTGTTGAAAGACAACGTGTGACTCAACCTACAATAAATGTTTATTGGTGTCAGTTGTTTGAATATACATTTTACTGAATGGATAACCATAGACTAAATATATGTTTCTTTTATTTTTCAGACCAGGCAGTGGTTAGTATATTCATTGTTTATGAAACAAACAAAAAACCTCTAGAGCTGTTGCACCGGAACATATGACATCATTACAATGCTAGTTTATAGCTGTTCTTTTATAATGTAATACATCGTGGTACTTTTGTGCCAATGATAGTTACAACGTTCAGGTTGCACTCTTTCGATATATTCCTCCAGATCGGATCTAGATCTTCATTTTGTTGCAATAAGAAGCAACTTCCTTTACATTCTTTCATCCACAAAGTAATCTACAAACAACAATGTCTTCATTAGTCATATGACAATAATACGACACCATTCTGCTTCACAGGAGTGAGCGAAATGAAGGAATGCAAACAAACAACGTTTTACTAAAGTATCCTTCAAGTTTTTTAATCACGCCCGCCCCGCCCTACACAGGTTGAGAAATAAAACTCCATATTCAAAGGTTTCTTGTGATTTAGGTCTTTGCAGGGCAGACAAATTGAAAAGAAATATTCATAGTCATGACTCATTTTTTTCTTTAATGGCGGTATAGTGTGTTAATAGATATTGGGTTATTCCGTTTTGTGTTTTATTACTCGCCCGTTGAGGATACCATTGTGTAATAACAATTAGCTGATATTACACACTGTTTAATACCAAAGCACGTGCTTGTGTACTGCTGGAACTAGTTTCACATACATATATTGAAACCTCTCAACATCGCTGGGCTTATTCAATGACATTTCGTGTAGGTATGATATGTCACTGAGAGGAGATTATGCACATTCGATGATCCCAGCAACCCTGTTGCTAGTCCAATGTCACAGCGTATTGTTTCGCCGGTGTATCTTGTAACAAAAAAGTCGTCATATTGAAACGTATTGTAAGGTATTCTGACGTATTTTTAAACATTCTCTTGCTGAATTCTAAAGGCAGGCCGTCGTAGAGTAGTGTTATTAATATGTGTCAACTTATATTGTGTTTGAAGTTGTGTTTTACTGGTAAACTCAATTGGGCTATGCTGTTGATCACTCAAAATCTGCCTATTTACACGTGACAGTGAAATGCTTGACCTAGTTTATGACGGGAATTCCAATAGTTGTATCAAATGATCGTCAGATAACAGGAATATTCGATCCATAAAATTGGTATTACACGGGAGCTCGTTATATATATATTGTGTAACTTTGTTTCTGGTCCGATTAAGTATCGAATAAGTATCCTTGTCGATTTAGTACATTATTTCTTAATTGACAAAAAATAAAAATAAAAAAACATCCTATAATTCTGAATTTTGCTCAGTTCAATGACATAATTTTGTTGTCCTCAGAACAAAATAGGTTGGATCAACTCTATTGGCTAAATACATTTTAAGAACTGCTTGCATTAGCTTTGTGTTCTAAAACTTCCTTTAAAAGCGCCCTTAAATATGGTCCATAATGAATAAAGTAATAAAGAAGGAAATGTGAGGTGAGACACAGACTAGTGGGTAGCAAGCTTGGCATGTGGAATCGGGGTAGCATGCTGGTATTTTTTGTTCCAGGTGTGGTAGGGGTTTTAGTTTAAACCATTTGATATCTCCGTATAAGAATGATTTCATATTTGCAGAAACATCGCAACGAGATACCGAACTCCATGAGGCCTGTAGGACCGGAGACCTGAACAAAGTGAAAGGTATCTTGTCTGACAGTCGGGTACCCATAAACAGCCGTGGAATTTTTGGGAGGACACCTGTTATGGTTGCAAGTGAAAATGGACATAGTGAATTGGTGAATCTTCTCGTGGAACAAATAAGTTGTGATCTTTCATTGACAGACGACGATGGAGACAACATTCTTCATCGGGCTTGTTATGGTGGACATTTAGAAATAATAGAGAAGATCCTCTCAGAAAACTGCGTTGACATGAACAGTAGCGGCAGGCGTGGTAGGACACCGGTGATGATGGCCGCATGGGGAGGACAAATGAATACATTTTCATTGCTTGTGCATAAAGGAGCAAGTTTGGAATTACTTGATGAAGGCAGGGACACTATCCTTCATTGGGCATGCGCGGGAGGAAATTGGAAAATAGTTAGATATATCCTTTCCAAGGATATTATTAACATCAACTGTAGGGGCTGGTCTGGAATGACTCCATTGATGATGGCAGCATGGAAGGGGCAAACAAATGTTGTGGAGTTTCTTGTGAACAGAGGATGTGAGATGTTACAAAGAGATGATCATAACAAAAACGTGCTTCACTGGGTCTGCTACGGAGGAGACTTAGACACAGTCAACTATGTCCTCTCAAAAACCCTTGCTGACATGAATAGTGCAGGTCTACGTGGAATGACACCAGTAATGGTTGCAGCCCGTGAGGGACATATCAAAGTGTTTGACTTACTGTTGAAGAAAGGAAGTGATGTGTCGCAAAAGGATAGTGAGGGTAACACCATTCTTCACATGGCCTGTATTGGGGGACATGAAGATATGGTCAAACATATCTTTGCAAACAAGCTTGTTGACATCAACTTACAAAACAACATGGGTTCAACAGCAGCCATGATAGCAAGAACTGAAGGTCACAATGCACTCTATGATTTATTTGTGTCCAGGGGCTATAACTTGGAATAAATACAGACAATGAAAGTGGGTACATTATTTACAATGTCACCAATTTCAGAACATTTTCAGTTCTTAGTGTTAACTGGTGTCTAGTGTAGGAAATGTCTCCAAATACTGACCAAACTATTGTTGGGAGGAATTCGTTAATATCTCTTTACCGGAAGAAAATACATGAAAATATGGTCATTCCTATCAGAAAGATTTTGAAACGATAATGTATGCATGAATATGTGGTATATATCAAGATCAATCATCCATGAATGGCATGCACTGTCACCTTGAAGTTTTATAGCATAGTAAGCATAATAATTGCCGCTTACAAGTATGCCCGACATATATATCCAAAAGATGAACACCTTGTGAATGAATGTTTGCTGTTGATGAAGTCGTGCAATGCTTTTTACAAAAATACGTTGGAAACATATCTAAACATGATATGATTGTCAGTTGTCAAAACATGCTTGGAGACGAACTCACACCCATATTATCTGAAGAGTACAAAGATAAATATGAAACCAAATGTCATTGTCAAGTGATTAATGATAATGTACTTATCTTTGAATTTCACCCCGATGTGTAATTTGCTTACGCCCATGTCACATGATTGACGATATACCCTGTTTTGGGATTAGATAATATATATAACTTCCGATGACAAATACTTATATAAAATATATTTACGTTTTGCACCACTTTTGGGTTGGCTGTAATTAGCTTTCTCCTTTTATTTTGTTCTATTACCATAGGAATGCCTCTTTGGAAAACGCAATGTATTTACATTCTTTGCTTGTAAATGATATTGTAAATATGAAATATGTGTGGTGGCGCGTGGTCCTGTGCACAGCGCAAAGATCGCAAATCAGGTGAATTTAAGCAACGTCTGTCTCGGAGAGTAGTTGGATGGGTGACCACGTTCAGAGGCTTGACTCCTTAGAGTTTCAAGGGCTTCGGTCCTGCCCCACACTGTAGGGGCACCACATGTGGTGCCTCCTTAGGCAGGTGACTTTGTTCGACATGTGCCTCTGTTAAGCCAGCAGTGAGTGGGTACCCGGTATAATGAATTGGTAATGTAGGATGAAATGGTAACCTTCTAGCGCCTTACAGGCAGCTTTGGTTGTATACTCCCCAGGGAGCTGAGAATGAAAATCGAGTGCTCACTGATCCATTGACTGGGGTAATAATAGTGTAGCGCTATGAGCATCAACTTGGTGAATGGAATCTGGCGCATTTTAAATGCACTTAATATTATTAATATTATTATTATGTATATTTGTACTTATTGTCATGTTAATCAAGACGTGGAAGTATCCTTACATCTGCCATCCTTTTTTCCATCCACATTATATAAAATATAGTTAATTAGTAGTTTGACTTAAATGGTGATCATTTAATTAGAGTTGTATGGTTGTTGACTTGCACTCCGCCCATTTAGAAGTAAAAGCGACGCAACTCCTTCCATAATCATAAGAATTACGATTCTGACATATGGTTGAAGTGGTGGTAAAATGTTGAAAAATCTCGAGGTTGGGCAGTTTCTAGAAGACTGGCTGACTGTAAGAACGATCAGGGGGCGATGTGAGGTTTTCAGTTCAACCTGACTTCTGTCTCAGCTACAAGCCAAGTAACGATTGGGTACCGAGTTGTAAACATAAACTCCTGCCAGCGTCAGACACCATTCTGGGATCAAGAACAAAGACATGCTATTTTAAAACCGTCGACAGTGACAACATTAGGGACCAATCGTGAGAGCACCAGTGTAGGTAGGTTACTAACACTTATGTGCCCCATTGTATCGCCATTTCTGTCGTGAAATTAATATAATTATTGATTCGTCATTGACCTTGTATGATCAATTACTGGTTTCGCAATGTAGTTGTACGAAACGATTTCTGGGTTAAGCTTTGAGTTTAAATTAGTTAGTTATAATAACAAGTCTTCCTGAAAAGGTCAGTGTATTAAACACACATATGTACATATGAGGCCATTTGACTTGTACCCAAAACCTGAATGGTACTATGATTCCTAAGTAGGCCGCCGTCTAATACATTAGAATGGAGGATGTTTTTATTGCCTCACTAAATATAGCAACACATCAGTGCAGTCAAGTTAAAGACAAAATTGATAAATATTTAGTGTATGGTATGTCATCATATTAATGTTAATTTAATAACGCGGATAGTTTGTTACTCTTGCGCCGTAGGCACATCACAATCGGACGTGCCTGAGAATATACAGGTACGTGTAGCAACTGCGAGGGCGCTGACTGATGTAAGGGATGTAACTCCAACATTACAATTGCAGGCTTATGGTTTTCATCAGAGGTTCCATATCAGATTGAAGGTCTTGTTATGCTACAGTCTAAATATGAATAGCTATTTATGTTTATATCTGATATGTTACTGTGTATGCCAGTAATAGCATGTCAGTGTGAATTTTAAAAAGGATATACCCTATTTTGACCATGGGTCATTAACACGTGTGTGCAAATCATAGTTGTTTGTAAAGGCGTGTTTGTGTATGTCTTTCGACGCTATGTTAGCTGTGAGGTTTTCCTGCGACGGAATCATAATCCCTGCTTATGACCCAGATAGACAAACTACCCAGGCTAAAAAATGTGCGCCTGACTGACCAACTGAATGACGAGTCAAGCCTCTCCGTTGTAATGTTTAGAGGTCTGTGGTTTACTCCAATTTTCTAAATAGGAGTTCTCACCCATTTCCCGACAAAGGGAAATGTACTTGTGCAATGAGTTTAACATCTCTTGAACATTTTGTCATTACTATCAAGGCATAGAGAGTTTGAACTTTCACGAAAGTTATAAGTAAGTACACGATCATATTCCAGAAGGTTCATGGAATGAATCCCACAACTGGCGTGTGTTCGTTGTTAAACACAACATTTTGGAACAGTCCAGCTTGTACATATAAGCAACAAAACCATTTCCATAATCAAAAGGAATGTGTTCTTAAAGCAGAGTCCTTGGTATGCTTCGAGAAATGGTGAGCGTATCCTGCCCCATCGGTGGAACACGTCACAAACACATGCAAAGGCAAGTCAATCGACAAGTTAATATCAAATCCAAACCAGTGGTTGATGCTATGAGCGACAATCCATCAAGTAGGGGTATGATGACCCGCAATCAAACATGTCACCAAGCCTGACCACTAGATGTCTATAGTAGCCTTTTAAGACAAGCACCGGTTGCTGGGGGTGGGCTATTTCCCCAGAAATCCTCACGGGGCAACACACCAGCGTATGCAGTACTGCACGTAGTGCTAGAGCATATGCCACAGACAAGTGGGCTCCTTTGTTTCAGAGGTAAAACGAAACTACAACACGGTCAACGAAAAGACTGGAGTATTTGAATTTTATTCAGGCAGAAGCACACATGTTCTGAGTACATTATGAAACTACATTCTAAAATAATACATCATCATTCTGCTGACCTAGTGCTGACATTAAAAGTGCAATGTGACATATTTGGTAATTAATTTGTTAGGTCAGAGGTTACGTTTTTTAACCTACTCAGTGGTTGACCTCATAAGCATCTTCACTTGCGGTCGGGGAAAGTTGACACGCCATAAACCTAGCACCTGTGTCTGACCACTGGGTCCATTGTAGTCGACTGTTACAACAGGCGTAGGTTTTTGAGTACCACCTCTAAAATACAATCCCCACAAGCTTCCCACTACTTTAGACACGAAAGCTGTGCATATCATTTGCATACTATTTTCATTAGCAAAGAAAGATTTTAGTGAAAAGAGGAGGCTCAAACGCTTTATATGGTTGCAGTGTAAAAAATCTGAGTTGTATAGCATAATGAATCTTGATTTTCATAATGCTCTTACATATTTACATCTAGCTTGATGTTTAAACAATTTTCTCTATCAATATTTTAACAGGTGGCAAACAACACAACGGTATGACAGCCGAGTGAAACCTTTTGAATTGGGACTTCTGTTCCATCAGAATCATCAGGTTATTTCTTCTCATCTATTGTTGCCTCCTGTAAAATACAAAGAAGATCTTGAGTATATTTTAAGAAAAAAAATTCACATAAAACATTTCAAACAAAAACAGTACACGTTGTGCAAACGTAATGATTCTGTGTGATTCTGTTGACAATTTGACGTCTATCTTGAAAAAGGTCCATAATACAGAGACATTTTAAAGATATGACTGTACGTACATTGAAGGTTAGATAAGGGTTCGCTTTATGGTCTTCATGGCATAACTTCCAGTCTGTTTTACCGACGCAGTACAATTTTAAATAAGTAAGTTTGATTCCTCTAGCTACATAAATAAGAAAGTTATATCATCTTCCAGTTGAATGATGTCATTTCCGACCGGGGAAAATGAATGTCATATTTTGTGCGACTAACAAATAGATAGTTCCATGCTTCTAACTACCTGAATATGAAGGTTACGTGCACTTCCGGTCTAAATACACTACTTCCTGTTTGGGAAATCATGTGTCCGTCGAATTACAGCTTTAAAACATAGAGTCCAAAGCATTAAGCTATGTTATACGAAAAGTTACATGCGCATTTAATGACAAACAAACATGTCATATCAACACAGGGTCTTGGTTCAGTAAACAATGAAGCGGAACTGCCCCACAACTTGCCAATAAAGGTCACACCACTTTACGTGAATTTCACATTCAATATCAGCAAAGATAGAAAGATCTTTTAGAATGAATTTATCATTCAATATCAGTATGGATTACAACCATAATATAGTATATGCTACTCACTGAAAGTAGGTCACATGTCACACACAAGTATTGGAACTATATAACCACAAGATCCATGAAAATATGACAAGGCAACGTATATGTCACATTAGATAAATAAATAATACTACACAGACATTTACCAGCTTACCCTATATATTGAATGTAAATAGTACAGGTTATTTAGCCCACACATTTAGAGACTTTTCAAATCGTGTCACGATTCGTGTGAATCAACTTGCTCCCTTCATTTCAGCATATATCTTAAACGCTGAATTCATTTGTTCTTCATCCTTTGTGACGTCAAGTTTACTTATGACATTATTAAAGCAAGCAAACATATCGTTGGCATCTATCACACTTCTCTTCAAGATTCCCTTACAGTATACATGTACTTTTGTTCCTGACCACTCCAGGGATTGTAGGATCAAGTGTTTTGAGAGGGACCAGTTCACACGTCAGCGGACTTCCTTTCCCTTTATTTTGATTTTCAACCTGACCGTTAAAGGCATCAATTGTTTCCAGCATGCTCGCAACATCTCGTGGCGCATGATCGATAAGTGTTGTTGCATGCAGTGATATATGCAATTCAGAGCCATGTTGTACCATTTGATCCAGCTTTTTGAATTCTGCTTTGGCACTTGCATCCATTCCGTCAATCATCGTCTATCTCTTGCTTCCGTAGGATAAACATTTGAACGGAGGTGGCTTTGGACAGTACGGGTGAAGCACCGCCATACATTCTCAACCATATGTTAGACATTCCGGAATGTTCGTTTGTTCAGTTTTCCAAAGTTTAATCGAGAACTGTGACAACATATTGTTCAAGCGTTGTCCAAAATGGAAGTCACCAGCTTAAAACGAACGTAAAGCTCGAGGAATCTGCTTTCTAACTGGCTGATGTCGACTTTTTGTTAGTAATTTCAGTGGCTCAGTGGTCATTTCAAAGTTCGCGAAGGTCGTTCAGACGGGACACGTAATGGAATGTCCTCAGATCTTTGTTTAGCGGCAGCGAGAACCAAGATCTGATTTTAATGAGATTGGTTCTTAAAAGTGTGACTTACTCGTATATAGGGATCGGGTGCTCAGAACTCACACAGTCATCGGATTGTCAAACTCTGATTGACAGGTCGAGCGGATGTCCAAACTGTCACCGGTCACTGTTACTAGCATCGGGATCAGGTGGTCAGGTGGCTTACACGGGGACCAGGTGGTGAGCCTGTGACTATATCGTGGATCGGGAGGTAAGACTATGGCTTACATGAGGATAAGGTTGTCAGACTGAATTGAGTGGACAGACTGAGAATGTCATAGGGATCGGGTAAACAGACTGTGACTTACATCGACAGCAGGAGGTGAGACTGTGACTTACACGCGGATCGGGATCTTACATGAGGATAGATGGGCATCGGATAAACAGACTGTGACTGACATTGAT